CCAAGGTCAAGGAAGAAACAACTACATGAACAGGTTTAAAAGGGCATTCAAGAAGGAGGTAGACAGAAGAATGTAAATACAAATAAAAGACTATTTTCTATAATAAACAAAGACTAAAACCCAAGAGATAAATGAGATAAGTATATACATAGACACCTGACAGAAAAGTAAACCCAAAGGGCCCATATACAAGTGAAAAGATGTTCAACTTACTAACGGTCGTTGTTGTTTAGTCAGTAACTTGTGTCCAACCCTTTTGTGACCCCCACGGAATGGAGCCTGCCAAACTCCTCTTGTCCATGGGATTTCCCAGGCAAGAATACTAAAGTAGGTTGCCATTTCTTTCTCCAGGGGATCTTCCTAACTCAGGGATCCAACTTGTGTCTCTGCATTGCCAGGATGATGCTTTACCATTGAACCACCAAGGAAAAGTGAAGTCGCTCAGTTGTGTCTAACTCTTTGAGACCCCATGGACTGTAGCCCACCATGCTCCGCTGTCCATGGAATTTCTAGGCGAGAGTACTGGAGTGGGTTGCCATTTCCTTCTCCGGGGGATCTTCCCGATTATATTAATGGTCAGGATTAAAATGAGTTTTATTTTAATTTTTAAATAAAATAAGTTTTATTTTAAAGAAATTCAACCCTTTGATGCTAAAGAATTTAGACATCTAATCCAGTCCCAAAGAAGTGCAATGTCAAAGAATGTTCAAACTACAGCATACTATACTCATTTCATATGCTAGCAAGGTAATGTGCAAATCCTACAAGCTTCAACAGTACGTGAACCAAGAACTTCCAGAAGTATAAGCTGGATTTAGAAAAGGCAGGAGAACCAGAAACCAAATTGCCAACATATGTAGGATCATAGAAAAAGCAAGCGAATTACAGGAAAACATCTATTTCTGCTTCATTGACTACACTAAAGACTGTTGGATCACAACACTCTGCAGAAAGTTCTTAAAGAGATGGGAATACTGGCTCACCTTACTGGCCTCCTGTGAAATCTGTATGGAGGTCAAAAAAAAAACAGGACCGAATACAGAGCAATGGACTCGCTTAAAATTGGGAAAGGAGTATGTCAAGACTATATATTGTCACCCTGCTTGTTTAACTTCTATGCAGAGTACATCACGCAAAATGCTAGTCTGAATAAAGCACAAGCTGTAATCAAGACTGCCAGGAGAAATATCAATAACCTCAGACATGCAGATGACACCACCCTAATCGAAGAAAATGAAGAACTAAAGAGCCACTTGATGAAGGTGAAAGAGGAGAGTGCAAAAGCTGGCTTAAAATTCAACATTCAAAAAACGAAGATCATGGGATCTGGTCTCATCACATCATGGCAAATACATCAGGGAAAAATGAAAACAATGACAGACTTTATTTTCTTGGGCTCCAAAATCACTGCAGATGGTGACTGCAGCCATGAGATTATAAGATACTTTCTCCTTGGAAGAAAAGCTATGACAAATCTAAAGAGCACATTAAAAAGCAGAGGCATAACTTTGTGCACAAAAGTCCATATATTCACAGCTATGGTTTTTCCAGTAGTCAACTATGGATGTGAGATCTGGACCATAAAGAAGACTGAGTGCAGAAGAATTGATGCTTTTGAACTGTGGTGCTACAGAAGACTCTTGAGAGTACTTGGACAGCAAGGAGATCAAGCCAGCCAATCTTAAAGGAAATAAACCTTGAATATTCAGTGGTAGGACTGATGCTGAAACTGAAGCTCCAATACTCTGGCCACCTGATACAAAAAGCCAATTCATTGGAAATGACCTGATGCTAGGAAAGATTGAGGACATGGGGAGAAGTGGATGACACAGGATGAGATAGTTAGATGGCATCATCAACTCAATGGATATGAGTTTGAACAAACTCCAGGGCAGGGAATCCTGGCATGCTCCAGTCCATGGGGTCACAAAAGTTGGACATCTCTGAGTGACTGAAAAACAACTTTATGTAACTTCATCAGGAATATCTTTCCTCATACCTCAGTCTGGTTCAGGATCTCCGATGTGGTCTTCTTCAGACACTAGTCTCAATAGTGTCTTATTATTTAATGGCTGTCTTCCCCACAAGACATTGCCTATATCTGGCATCTAGAGTCATACTTACCACACAAAAGGCACACCACAAAACTTATTGAATGCTTTAATAACTATGTTTCTTTGTTACAGTTAAAATTCATTAGAGGTTTCTCAGCTTCTCGGTCAAAATAAAGTAAACTTTAATTCCAAAGTTGAAGAAAGTAAGAGGTTAGGGACTTTCTTAGGTCTTATTACCACTGATGGTAATGAATCTCCAGGGAAGCATAGCTCCAACCAGTAAGAGAATAACATGAATCTCTAGATTGGTTAAGTTTGAGCTCTGCACCTTCTGTATCTCTGAGTTTCCATGGAGACCAAACAGAACCCCAAGCAGTCCAAGCCTGATGCCAGCTCCACAGAGGCAAAGAGTCTGCTATGACTATTTCACCCAGAACTCTCTATGGACACCATAAACCTGGAAGGGCCAGAAATCTCTTAAGCCCAACTGAAAAGGCGTTATACTAATCAGCATCTATTGATGTCTGTCTCTGCCCTACTATATGAGGGATGGAAGAATAATTTAATAGGTTTTCATGTCCATTTCCCCAGGAAATTGGTCCAGTGGTAACACAGTGATGGATCAGGAGCAATAGAAGCTTCCTGAGAAACTGGTGAAGCTCTGGGGAATATCCAGAGATTGTTCATTTCTGAGGACAACTGATTATATGTGGATGGTGAGAGTCAGAGAATATTTCTTAAGAGAGATTGGTTGTTGGAAAATATGAATACCTGCAGACACTGTGTACAAGGGAACAGGACCTGTCCGTGTCCATGACCTGCAGAACATGTTACAGCTCTGGCGCGTACTTCACTTCGCATCTCTGGTGAACCCCCAAGAAGTGTACTCCTCGGGCAACCCTGCAGAGTTGGGAGTTTCTTGTGAAAACCAGGAGCCTCCCCTCATCAGAACTGCCTTGAAGACAACTGAGCATCTCACCTAGTATCTAGTGAGGTAATCTACGTCCGTGCAATTTTTGGTGTGGGGAAGGGGAACCTGACTCCTCTGGATGCTCTGGCTGGAAGCCTGCATCTGTTTCCAGGTGTCCACTGGCGGGCTATGGCACAGCTCGCTTCTTTGATTTTTTGCATCATTCTCAGTATCCTGACTCAGGAACAGCGGATGGCTCACAGAATCATTAAGACTTTTTTTGCACTCTATTCATGGGCAGCCATTTATTTCCCATTTGTCGCAAACTATTTTACCCAACCATTAGTCCAAATGGGTTCATTGTGCAAGTTTCTTTTATGACTTTGAATTTAAGTTAGTTTACAATCAATAATAAAATAATAGAGACAGAACAAAAATCATCCACCATCCTCCCATCCTATTGTAGCAATTATGCTCATTTTTCTGTGTTCTCATCCAATTCTTTTCCATATAAATACATATTTTACACAGCTATACTGCACTGTGTTACCATTTCTCTGAGGCAGGCTTATCACATTAGTTCCTGCTCCCGTCTCAGATAGAGTCAGCTCTTCTCCACAGAAGCTTGCCTTTACCTGTCATTTCTATAAAGGACAACCGATGGCAAGAATGCCTACTGCTTTATCCAGAACCAGAAAGACACTGTTGAACAATGTAAAAACTAGAAAAAAAAATCCTTTAGAAAAGACCAAGAAAACAAAGACATAATCTCTAAAACTGAACCCAAAAAACTCTAAATATGAGCATTTATCATTATTGTTAATATTACTTAGGAATGTATCCCAAAGAAATAACCATCATGCCTAATCTACAAATTCATGTTCTCTCCTCCAATACAACAATCTTTTAGCACATGAATCCCTCAAATAATATTAGCCAATAATACCTAAGAAAGGATTTGTGATAGCATGACAGTAATTTGTTATATTGGTATGTGGGAGCAAGGATGTTGAAAATAATAATCTGTGTGCATGACCATTCAAATCCATACACTGGAAATAATAGAAAAGTACAATAGAAATAAATCAATATATTAATAGCAGTTGTCTCTGTAGGACTACCGGTGATTCTTTTCATTTTCTGTATATCTTAAAATGTCCATGATGACCTGATAATATTTTTATATTTTAAAACTTTTTAAGTACACATTGCTCTAAATCCAGTATGTTTTCTCCAATTTTATTTTTACTTACCCTTAACTATCCTGCAAGAATATCAGCCAGAAAGGGAGAAATAAAAATCACTAGCATTTTGTGACCGCATGGTCAAGTGGTCAACCTTGCATGAGGTGTTGGGTATACATTACTAATTTAAATTCTGCAGAACTTTTCTCTTGTGAAATGTTTTATTCCCACTGGAGAAGCAGAGTTTCGTGAGGTTAGAGAACTGGCCCCAGTCAAGTTAGTAAATGTTGAAACTCAGGTGCACACACTCAGGTGCACACATGGAGTCTCTTTAACTGAAATGTCTGTGTTCTAGAGTAGATTTTCCATCAGTGTTTTTGATAAAGGTCTGTGATCAATGGATACAGGATTTGCAGAGGAAGTATTTTACTTTATTTGAGAGACCCCTTAAAACCTTTGGACAAATATGGGGAAAGACATCATCTGATCAAGATTTAAAGGGACAAACACTTCCTAACATAAATAAGAAAAACAGAAAAAGAATTGGTAAAGGCAAAAATTTGCCAAAGAATACCAGACATTTAAATCAAAGTATGTGACTTGATGCTAACTCAGTGAGTAGAATCTGGACAACCAGCCCATGGAGGGAGGAAAAGGGATTTGCAGGTGGAAGAAATAAAGGATTCCTTCAGCTCAAAATCCCTCTTTCCTTTCAGTTCCCAGTGTCCTCAGATCCCCAGAACATCACGACTCCTGAAGCCGCACACCCCGATTGGGCATTCCCAGCAGAGGCCAGAGGAGCCACGGGGAACCACACCACTGTCACCGAGTTCGTCCTGCTGGGGCTCTCAGATGCCTGTGAGCTGCAGACGCTCCTCCTCCTGGGGCTCCTCCTGACCTACCTGCTCACTCTACTGGGGAACCTCCTCATCGTGGTCCTCACCCTCATGGACAGGCGCCTCCACACCCCCATGTACTACTTCCTCCGCAACTTTGCTGTCCTGGAGGTCTGGTTCACCTCGGTCATCTTCCCCAAGACGCTGACCAACATCCTGACTGGAGACAAAACAATTTCCCTGGCAGGCTGTTTTCTACAAAGTTTTCTCTATTTCTTCCTGGGCACCACAGAGTTCTTCCTACTGGCAGTGATGTCCTTTGACAGGTATGTGGCCATATGCAACCCCTTGCGTTATGTCACCATCATGAGCAAAAGGGTCTGTGTCCTGCTAGTTCTTTCTTCATGGATCACAGGGTTCCTTCTCAACGTCATTCCAGGTTTCCTCACATTTCAGCAGCCATTCTGTGGTCCCAATATCATTGATCATTTCTTCTGTGACAACTTTCCACTCCTGGAACTCATATGTGCAGACACAAGTCTGATCGAGTTTCTGGGATTTATCCTGGCCAACATCAGCCTACTGGGCACTCTGTCCGTGACGGCCACCTGCTATGGCCACATTCTCCACACCATCCTGCACCTCCCCTCAGCCAAGGAGAGGCAGAAAGCCTTCTCAACATGCTCCTCCCACATCATTGTCGTCTCTCTCTTCTATGGCAGCTGCATCTTCATGTATGTCCGGTCGGGCAAGGGCGGCCAGGGGGAGGACAGGAACAAGGTGGTGGCCTTGCTCAACACCGTGGTGACCCCAGTGCTCAATCCCTTCATCTACACCCTGAGGAACAAACAGGTGAAGCAGGTGTTTAGGGAGCAGGTGAACAAGCTCTTCTAATAAACCTGTGGATCCAAGAGGCTGCACATAAGATCCCCAGTCAAGCTGAGGGAACATCATGACTCTGCAACAAATGCAGGCTTTCTTATCCAGGAAAAGCTTGATGACATGTTTCCGGGGTGCCAGTCACTGTGCACCTCAGCATCAACTCATAAACTCTGTGGCCCCTCAAGGCATTTTTAGTAATCATCATATTTGTGTATTTCTCTTCATTCCATCTATATGCTTCGCTTCCCAGCAGAATACAAGCTTTTTGATGAGAGGCTCTGTAATTACTGGCTCTGTAATTCACCAAAAGCCTCAAAAACCAATTGTTGTGATATACCTTATAAATACTCAGAAACTGCTTTCAGACTGATTTTGTGTTTCTGTTTCTCCAACAACCTCAAGGGAGAGGAGAACACTGTTAGCACTGTCCTCATCTTGTCACAGTAATACATCCCTAAGAATTCAAAAAATAAGGTTAGTTGCTTATTATCAATGATGCAGCCACTGTGGAAAACTCTTTGTTTAGTATTAAAATTCATAAGTATTCATCATTCCTATTTAGAAAGACTCTTCTTCCTGGTTGGTTACTTGCCTAAGCCCCAGTTTTCTCATCTGTAAAATGGGGATCCGTTCCAAAGGATTATGATAAAAGTCAAATCAGATACTCTATGCAAGAATCTTAAATAGTGACTGGCACATAATAAGTTTCATTAAATGTTAGTTTCTTTCATTTGTACCTCATCCTACCTTCCCTCTCTTCCTTTTAAATTTCACACCCGTTGTTAACAAAACTTTTCTGTTTGGAATACTATAAATTTTATATTCAGAATATCCTATTTATCTTATACAAAGTTAAATACAGTATTAAACCTATTGAAATTTGTTACTAAGATGTTCATTATTTTCATTAAAGTGAAAATTAGGTCATGTTGGTAAACTATCAAATATTAACTAAATAATGAGATCAATTCACATGGTAACTTATTCCAAAATAATTATTACACGAATGCCATGTTCAAGGAAATGCACATTTCAGTGCATAACACTTAATTTATGCCTTCAAAGAATTGAAATCTAATAAGGAAGATAGAAAGGACACAAATAACAACATTTTAGGGTACAAAATGATCTTTGTAAGAAAATACCACAGGTAGCTCTTCAACAACAAAAAGGAAAACCTGGAGAAAAGCGATGACTCCCTAGAGGATGAGAATTTTCAAAAATGTAAAAAGAAATAGAAATCTTAACTGGCCCAATTACCATAGAAAGATTTCAAGAAAAGATTATACAGCTACTATAAACTAAAAAGTATGTTTTCAACAACAAAAACAACTCTTCTACAAATGGCCAATAAGTACATGAAAAGATGGGCAGCATCACCAATCATTAGGGAAATGCAAATTAAAATCAAAAATGAAATATTATTTTATAGCTATAAAGATGGATATTATTTAAAAATTTTTCTTGAACAGATTATACCAAGTGTTGGCAAGAATATGGATAGATTAGAATTCTGGTGCATTGCTGATGAGAGTATAAAATGATGCAGCCACTGTGGAAAACAGTATGGCAGTTCCTAAATAAAGTAAACAGAGATTTACCATATCATCCAGCAATCTCACTTCTAGACATAAACCCAAAAGAATTGAAAGAAAGGACTTGAACAGATGTTTTTATATCTGTGTTTACAGCAGCATTATTCACAACAGCCAAAAAGGTAGAAACAACTCAAATGTGCATGGATGAATCAATGGATAAACAAAATGTGGTATGTACATACATTGGAATATTATTCAGCCTTAAAAAGAAATGGAATTCTGATAAATTAAATGCTACAACATGGAGGAAACTTGAAGACACTATGCTAAGTGAAATAAGCAAGACATAAAAGGATAAATATAGTCAGATTCCACAATATGAGGTACAGAGTGATCAAAAAAAAATCATAGAGACGGAATGTAGAATCGTGGCTACCAGGAAGTGTGGGTAGGAAATGGAGAGTTATTATTTGATGGATATAAAATTTCAATTTGGGATGATGAAAAAGTTATGGACATGGATAATGGTGATGATCTCATAACAATGTGAATGTACTTGACACCACCAAACAGTACACTTTAACATGGTTAAAATGATCAATTTTATATTATTATGTATTTTACCCAATAAGAAAAGTACAGATTCCAGGTCAGAAACAAAACTGCATTACCTTTGACTTCCTTCCTTTCTCTTATTTCTCAGTCAATCCATCAGCAAACTCTGTGGATTATACATCCAAAATATGTACTAAATCTACCATTTCTTACCACCACCACTGCCATCTTTGTTCATATAACCTTCCCCGTCCTCTAGGAAATCCATCCCTACCTGCCACACCAATCCCATGCCCATATCTCTGGAGGAGGACAAGGTTAGCAAACTCAGGTGAGGGGGAGGTGGACTTGCATAGTTAACACAGAGGAAGCTGAAACCACACACCATTTCTCTCTGAGATTTCCTGCCTGAAACAGGCCTTATGCATCAATAGAAATACAATTTACTTTAAATGAAGTTCAAACCTTTAACAATTATATAGGACCAGACAAGTTAATAATCCCATTCTTTGAACAAATGGTGAATGAAGGACTTCTAAAATTATACATATGCCCAGAAAATTTGCATTACTGTCCTGAATTTCATACAAGGTCAAGGAAGAAATAACTGCATGAAGAGGTTTAAATGAACTTTCAGGAAGGAGGTAGACAGAAGAATGTAAATTACAAATGAACGATTATTTTCTATAATATACAAAAGTAAATAACCCAACAGATAATTGAGATAAGTATATACATAGACACTGACAGTAAAGTAAACTCAAAGGACCAATATAATTGAAAAGATGTTCAGCTATATTAATAGTCATTGTTGTTGTTTAGTCCCTAAGTCTTGTCCAGCTGTTTTGTGACCCCAAGTATCCTAGCCCACCAGGTTCCTCCTCTCCATGGGATTTCAAAGTCAAGAATACTGGAGTGGGTTGACATTTTCTTCTCCCAGAAATCTTCCAGACTACGGGATCAATCTCGCATCTCCTGAATTGCCAAGAGGATTTCTTACCCCTGAGCCACCATCTAGTCAAAGCTATGGTTTTTCCAGTGGTCATGTATGGATGTGAGAGTTGGACTATAAAGAAAGCTGAGCACCGAAGAACTGATGCTTTTGAACTGTGGTATTGGATAAGACTCTTGAGAGTCCCCTTGGACTTGCAAGGAGATCCAACCAGTCCATCCTAAAGGAGATCAGTCCTGGGTGTTCATTGGAAGGACTGATGCTGAAGCTGAAACTCCAATACTTTGACCACCTCATGCGAAGAGCTGACTCAATGGAGAAGACCTTGATGCTGGGAGGGATTGGGGGCAGGAGGAGAAGGGGAGGACAGAAGATGAGATGGCTGGATGGCATCACCGACTTGATGGACATGAGTTTGAGTAAACTCTGGGAGTTGGTGATGGACAGGGAGACCTGGCGTGCTGCGATACATGGGGTCGCAAAGAGTCAGACATGACTGAGCGACTGAACTGAACTGACCTCTGCATATAAACTAAATAAGCATGGTGACAATATACAGCCTTGACGTATTTGACATGGAACAACCAGGGAAGCAAAGTAAGTTGTATTCCTTGGAGAGATTGGTACTGCTATACTTGATATGCATTTGAATCTTATTTGATGATACTTTTTCGGGCTTTCCTGGTGGCTCAGATAGTAAAGAATCCTCCTGCAACACAGGAGACCTGGGTTCAGTCCCTGGGTTGGGAAGATCCCCTGGAGAAGGGAACGGCTGCCCACTCCAGTATTGTGGCCTGGAGAATTCCATGGACTGTAAAGTCCATGAGGTTTCAAATAGTCAGACACAAAGAGCAACTTTCACACCTCATACACAAAGTATCATCCATGCACAGTACATCATGTGAAATGCAAGGCTGGATGAATCAAATTGGAATAAAGATTGCCAGGAGAAATATCAACAACTTCAGATATGCAGATGACACCACCCTTATGGCAGAAAGAGAAGAGGATTTAAAGAATTTCTTGAAGAAGATGAAAGAGGAGAGCAAAAATGTTGGCTTAAAACTCAACATTTGGGCTTCCCTAGTGGCTCAGTGGTAAAGAATCTGCCTGTCAATGCAGGAGACATGGGTTCAATCCCTGGTCCAGGAAGATCCCACATGCTGCAGAGCCACTAGGCCCATGTCCCACAGCTACTGAAGCCCAAGAGACCAAGAGTGCATATTCCCCAACAAGAGAAGCCACTGCAGTGAGAAGCCTGTGCACCACAACCCCTGCTTGCTGCAACTAGAGAAAAGCCCAAACAGTAACAAAGACCCAGCACAGCCCTAAATAAATAAATAAATAAATAAAAATTTAAAAAAAACCTCAACTATCAAAAAGCAAGATCATGGCATTTGGTCCCATTACTTACTGGCAAATGTATGGGGGGAAAACAGAAACAGTGACTGCAGATGGTGACTGCAGCCATGAAATTAAAAGACACTTACTCCTTGGAAGAAAAGCTATGACAAATCTAAACAACATACTAAAAAGCAGAGACATCACTTTGCCCACAAAGATCCATAGAGTCAAAGCTATGGTTTTTGCAATAGTCATATACAGATGTGAGAGTTGGATCATAAAGAAGGCTGAGTGCCGAAGAACTGATGCTTTCAAATTGTTGTGCTGGAGAAAACTCTTCAGAATCTCTTGGACAGCAAGATCAAACCAGTCAATCCTAAAGGAAATCAGTCGTGAATATTCATTGGAAGGACTGATTTTGAAGCTAAAACCAATACTTGGGTCACCTAATGCAAAGACCTGAGTCATTGGAAAAGACCTTGATGCTAGGAAAGATTGAGGACATGAGGAGAAGTGAACGACAGAGGATGAGATGGTTAGATGGCATCATCAACTCAATGGACATGAGTTTGAGCAAACTCTGGGAGATAGTGAGGGACAGGGAA